TGGAGGATTCTTATAAAATTAATTTAATTTATACATACTTTTAATAAGAATTTCATAGACAAAATTTTATAATTTTAACATATTAAATATTTAAAAAATCAACATAGAAGGTCTTGTAGTCCAAAAAAATAGGTTACTCCCTCCGGTCCAAAATAAGTGATTTTTTGGATGTTTTCACTAAGATTAAGAAATCCACCTTTTAGCATTAATTAGCAATGGAATTGACCATATTAACCTTTACTATCTCACATAAACACTCCTAACACATATTCCAACACTATTTACTCCAAGGACAATGTAGGAAAAAAATAATTAATTCATTCTTGAAATCTGGAAAAATCACTTATTTTGGACCACAAGAAAAAGGCCAAAAAATCACTTATTTTGGACCGGAGGGACTATTTTATTATATCCTCTACCCATGAGTTCTTCTATTTTGATATATTTAGGACTATTTTGCTATATCAATATTGTATTCATGCTTTTATAATAATATAGGCTTTCTTTTTTCTAAATAGATTTGGACAATATAATACATTCTCAAATTAAATTAGAAATAGGACATTATAATACGTTTTCAAATTAAATTAGTAATAGAAATTTTTAACGTGGAAAGTAATTATACTAATAGGATTCCTAACTTGTAGTATTATGTCCTAAAACTAATAGGATTACAAGGCTAATGTCTAGAATTCCAGTTATGTCCTTTTATTATGAGTTATTATGCTTAATGTTATAAGGTTATTTTTGTAAACCGACATTGCATTCATACTTTTATATATATATATATATATATATATATATATATATATATATAAGATAGATATAGATAGATAAAGAAATTAAACCTTCGATTAATCTTTCTACAAACATGAGCCTCAAGTCCCCAAAAAAGAGCAAAATAGTTAAGGTGATGTTTGTTTTCAAAGCAGAACATGAATAATCTAGAGGAATTTTTTTAGTTTTGTAGAAATTGAAAAACTTTTTGGTTTAATGTTTTGTTTTTTTACAAACATTAAAAGGAACTCTAAAACCTTTTTCACCTGTTTTTGTGAAGCAAAGTTCAACCCAACAAGTATTCTTTTTCACGGTAAATACTTGAGACACTTGCCAAAGAGAAATAGGAGAATAAAAATAATTAAATTGGATATCAAAATAGACCAAATTACCCTAACCGTATTACAGATGTTTCTTGGAGATAATTAATTAAGATTGAGGCACAAACTATGCTGCTCTCTGACTATCTTACTTAGTTTATGAACAAAGCGCAGCAAGGTCTCATAATTTTATAGAAATATTTTATTCCACTCACAAAATTTCTAAAAAAGTATAACTATACAAATATGTCTTTTTACGATAGTGCGCATTTGGCCTAATTCATTGGCTATTCGTTATCTCTCACCAACACTTTGTCGAGTAATCTGTCCTTCAGAACATAGTAAAAATATTAACAGATATGTAAAATCAGTAAATATTTTCTTTCTATACTGAAATTTAAATCCTGATATTACATGATTCATTCTAACTTCATTTAACAATAAGGCACACCTTTGAATGTTACTACAACATTTTCTTTTGTACATGCTTTTCTATTTAAACACTTTATTTCAATAAACTTTTTTAGAAAATATAAGGAAATTTTACCTCCTATAGCAAAGGTTGATACCTTATTTATTATAAATAAATAAAAACCCTTTTAAAAAATTATCTCCTATAGCTACCTTTTAATTTTTATAGCAAAATATCTATTTATGATCACTCCCTACCTTTAAGCCATTAAATACCCTGTGTATTATTTTTCTCTCTCCCTCTCTCCTCCTTTCTCTTTTCCCTTCTTCTGTTTTTCCCCCGGTTTTTTCCTCCCCTGCTTTTAGAAACCCTAGCAGGGACTGTGTTCCACCAACGACAGATCCGGCCGGCGACCACTTCCCCCCTCCCTCGTTGCGTCACCCCTAACCCCCTCCTCCGGCCGTCCATTTCTTTCACACAGTTGTATTACACATTCTAAATTTTTCTTAGATTTTGTATTGATTATTCACGTTTGCCTTGTGAGATCTGAAGAAGTTCTATCCCTAGTTTCCGTTTGATCCTTTAAATTGGTGTTTCTTCAACAATTGTCTTTATTTAACCGGCAGCGACGCCCCACATGGCGGCGGCCTGGATATTGGTGGATTGGGGATGGAGTTTGGGACTGAGGAACTTGAAGAGTCTGCTACCTTTTTTTATTGTATTTCAATGTATCTTGCTGTATTTCATATATATCATTGTATTCACTGTCTCGCTGTATTCTATGAATGTATTCATATTTTTTTAATTAATATAATATATGTATTCAGATGTATATATGTATTCAAATGTATCTGCAATATGTATTCACACTTTTTTGCACTATAGATGACCTGCTATACTTCACAATGTATTTTTATGTATTTAACTGTATTCAATGTAGTTATATAATTTCAATATATAAATCTATTTGCAAAGGTACCACTAAAAAATATTTAGTAAAGATTGAATCTCTGAAGATTGCTCTGCTTTTGGGGTATTTTTCGGTTGAGAATCTTTTTTATAACTGAAAATACAAATTTTGTGTGTTATAATTGAGTTTGTTGAGTTATATTAGGAGTTTATCACGTTAATTGATTCACTTACAGTTTTTAAACAGCTGAAGACCTTTTTTTCGCAAATTTCGTTATTGTATTCACGAATATAACTCGCGAATACAGTCGAATACATTCTCTGCTTAGCCGGACTCCCATGTTTTCCGCTGAGTTTTGCTACATAGCTATAGGAAGTAATTTAGTAAATGATAGCTATAGCAAGCTAATAATCACTAATATATAGAGGGTGTTTGGCTAAGCTTATAAGTTGGTCAAAGTAGCTTATAAGCACTTTTCGGCTTATCTACGCGTTTGGTAAAGCTAAAAGTGCTTAATTATAAGCCAAGTGCTTATAAGTCAAAAATAAGCCAAAAGCCATAAGTTTGTCACCCCGAACTTATGAATGTTTAGCTTATAAGCACTTTAAGTTTGACCAAGATTTTTACTATTTTATCCTTAAAATATTCATTTCTAGAACAAAACTCCTACATCGATACTCACTGCCTCAAATATTTTATCCTATTTAGGTTTATTTTTTACTGAGAAACTTTTGTCAATTTATTAATTATTATAACTTATGATTATATGCTTATCATAAAAATTATCTTATCTAAGCACAATTATTTTTAAAATAAAATGACAAATAGAATATTTTGTATTTATCGATCTGGAATCTAAAATTTTAAAGAAATTACGCCCTTATAAGTGTAAACAATTATAAGGCTATTTAAGTCATTTTAACATAAAAGGAACTTATCAGCACTTTTTTATCAAATACTGCAACAACTTATTATCAATTTCAGCACTTGTACCCAAACACGTAACTGCTTATTCATTAAATCAATTTCAGCAATTAAAAGTGCTTTTCAGCACCTAATGCTTATCAGCTACTTCAAATCAACTAATCCAAACGGGCTTATAGTGATTTCTGAAAATTTCTCAATATATAAAGTAGAGAAATTTTCATGAAGCACTATCTTTTAGTAGTAATTAGCCATCTATAGATACCGTTTACTATATTACGGATTATAGATACCTTTTATGTGGTTATAAGTTGTATTTGATGTATTTAAGCTATTGTATTCATGAATACAGTAGCAAAAATAGGCGTGAATCAGGGAAGTCCAACTAATTAGTTGTTGTATTCGAGTGTATTCGACTGTATTCACGGAGTGAAACATGGGATTACAGCTGGACAGATTATTGTATTCGACTGTATTCGACCGTATTCATGGCGTGAAATAGGGGATTACACTGTTTTTAAAACGGAAAGTGAATCAATTAACATAATAGACTCCTAATATAACCCAACAAACTCAATTATAACACACAAAATTTGTATTTTCAGTTATAAAAGAGATTCTCAACCAAAAAATACCCCAAAAACATAGCAATCTTCAGAGAAATTATATAATACATGTGAATACATAAATTATATTAATTAAAAAGAACTTATGAATACATTTATGGCATATAGCGAGACAGTGAATGCGATGAAATACTAGAATACAACGGGATACATTGAAAATACAATAAAAAAAAAGATAAAGAATACAATAAAATACATGGAATACAGTGAGATACATTGAATTACAATGGGAAAAAAAGGCAATGAATACAATGAAAACCATGAAAATACAGCGTAATACGTTGAAATTACATTGAAATATATTAAAAGAAATGTTCTTCTTCGTCGCGAAAGAAAGAAATCGTCTCTCAGTGGATCTCCGAAACCGAATCCTCTTTTCAGGACCGCCGCCATCTCCTCGTTGGACTTGACGTCGAGTGGCGGCCCAGTTTCCACCGCAACCAGCAATTCAAAGTTGCAACTCTCCAACTCTGCTTCGAGTGCCGTTGCCTCATATTCCAACTCCTCTACTGCAGTTCAATTCCAGAAGAAGACAAAGCAAAAAGAAAAAAAGTTGGATGTTCTGATTTCACCAAAAGTAGAAGTGTGTGTCGGAATTGATGTGGTAAATTCCATGTTTGATAGCTTTGATATATAGTGTTGTGGATTCCCTTTCTCGACAATGGCACTCGTTAGATAATCAAGAGTCAAGAACGGCGGCGGAAGCTTTGATACGCTGGTGTAACTGATTTTAATTTTAATGGGATGGGGGAAGAGAATGGATGTATCAAAGTAGAGAGAGAAAGAAAATAATGTAACTGATTAGCGTATTTAGTGGCTTAGGGCTAGGAGGTAACCAAAATTAAATATTTTGCTATAAAGCTTAAAAGGTATCTATAGAATATAATTTTTTTAAATGGTATTTATTTAAAATAAATAAGGTGTTAATCTTTGCTATAGGAGGTAAAAATTCCTATAAAGTAAGAGGACAAGACGAATAGGCCTGATGTTTGTTGGGCTTCATTTTACAAAATTGGGCCCCCAAAGACCTACTAACCCTGTGTTTCTACACTTTATAAGCCTCTTACCATCTCAAATCTCAAAACCCTAGCAATCAGTTGCAGCAGCGGAAAGAGCAGACCAGCATTTTCTTGCCTCAAGGTATAAACCCTAACCAATTCCGCTGCCCCTTAACAATGTCATCTATATGTTTATTGCGCGTTTGCTCACTCACTGTTACAGTATTGCAGGTAAATCGATTGAGTAGAAAATGTCGATCGGAGAAATCGCTTGTACCTACGCATGTTTGATCCTCAACGATGAGGACATCCCTATCACTGTGTGTTTCTTTGCCCTTACGATTGTTTACCGGTTTTGTTTTATTATTTTGTGATGTATTGATTTTGGTTTGTTTTGATTAATAATAGGCTGAGAAGATTTCAAGTATTGTAAAAGCAGCAAATGTTACCGTAGAGCCTTACTGGCCTCTCTTGTTCGCCAAGCTCGCTGAGAAGAGAAACCTCTCAGATCTCATCATGAATGTTGGTGCTGGCGGTGGTGGAGGTGCCGTAGCCGTAGCTGCCCCCACTGGTGGTGCCGCCGCTGGTGGTGGTGCTGCAGCTGCTCCTGCTGCCGAGGAAAAGAAGGTAAACTAAATGAGTGTTTTCCGTTTTGAAATCTGTTTAACCCTGTGTTTCGTACTTATAATTGTTTGTTGAATGTGTACAGGAGGAGCCAAAGGAAGAAAGTGATGATGATATGGGATTCAGTTTGTTCGATTAGAAGCTGTTTTCAGTACGATCTTGTTCTTTTGTTTCCAAAAAAATAGTTGGCTAAGTTTTAGTATTTGATGTTTGAGATATTCGGAAAAGTGTAAGAGTACATGTAATTTTGAGGCTATGGACTCCTGTTGTGCTAGTTTTGAAATCAAATGTTTGTTCTTCTATTGCTAATTTCTTATTATCTGTTTCTTTAATTCGTTAATTCACTTTACTAATAGAAAAACATGAAAAGATTTTGTGTCCAGTTATATAAATGGAATAAGGTGTCCTTAATGGTTGTCAAGGAAGGAATTATGTATCTATGGGACATTCTCAGCTAGCTTTAGACCTTTTAGATTCTAACTCTGTTGCGTATAAACTTATGCACTATGTCATGCAAGACTGACAGTTTAATTTAACGATAGTTTGGGCCTTTGACTGATACATTTTGGCATGTAAGAGTGACAATTTTATTACAAGGGAGTTTGTGCCCTTTATGGTTGTTAAGGAAGGAATTATGTATCCATTCAACATTCTTCCCCAGCTTACAACTGCAAGCCGAGTGTAATACCCTAAATGGGGTATGGGGAGGGTAGTGTGTATGCGGACCTTACCCCTACCTTGCAAAAATGAGAGGTTGTTTCTTATGATTGTTAAAGAAGGAATTATGTATCCATTCAACATTCTTCCCCAGCTTACAACAACTGCAAGCCCAGTGTAATACCATAAATGGGGTATGGGGAGGGACCTTACCCCTACCTTATAAAAATGAGAGGTTGTTTCTGATAGATTCTTCCCCAGCTTCAAACCTTTTAAATTCCAACTCTGTTGCTAGTAAAATGATATAGTTTGGGATGTTAGACTATGTCATAGTTTAATTGTAAGATGTTGAAGCAGCTTAATAGTCTTAATCTTCTTGTTGAAGGGTTGGTAGAGGTGGTATGTGCTCCATTGTTTCAATAATATGCATAGAAGCTTACTTTTTGTTTGGTGTGGATCTGAGTTGCACTATGACCAACTTGTGAACTATGGGCTAACTGAATCATGTGTTTACATATGGTAAGTTGTTCCTGGGAATGTGCGACTGGTCTTGATGAGATCTGCCGTAATAATCAGAATATCTGGTCTGATAGAGCCCATAGTTTCGAACTTTAATTGAATATCCAGGAAAGAAAAAATGAAAGAAAGAGAAAGAAAAATTAAAAGATAGAAATTCAGATTTTCATTCAAGACATTTCTTACAATACCCTACTAGTGAATATAAAGAAGACTAATAAAGGAGTCCACTAATAATTCTAATTCTTAAAGGACTACTGTGCAAATACTTAAAGTTCCTAAAGGCCCAAAACGTTACAAATAAGGGAAATTTTCGTTCCTATACCATATAGGAAACTATATTATCAAATATGTTCATAGTTTGCATATTACCCTTCATGCTAATAGTATTTTTACAAAATATAGACAATGCATTAAATAAGGAATCATTGTAGCTGTAGGATTCCTTATTTAGGCGCGCTAAAATTGGAGAATTAAATACTCTTCCAGATCTTCTACAACGCAAATCAAGCACATTCATAATTATCGTCGGATTCGTTTCAAATTTTTCATACTCTGTTTTTGCGATACACTCTGTTTAAACCTTTTTTCTGATTTCACAAATAAAAAACGACTAAATCTTCTATAATTCTTCTGCAACAAACGCAATTATGTCCAAATTTCAGTAATACAAAGCAAAGGAAAAGAGAGCAATAATTCCACCATTGACAACCATTAAAAAGCTTTGAAGCTTTGAATTCAAATTTGGGTTTTCAAAAATCATTATTTCTTTGGATTGGGTGTTGTTGAAAATAATTGGGAATATGGTTTGGAGTTTATATCTCAATTTTGAGGGGTTTTGGTGAAGTCATTAAACTTGGTTTTGGCTGAATTTCGGATTGAAACTCGAAGAAGAAGAAGAAGACATGACAAAACCAAGTCTAATGACTTCACCAAAACCCCTCAAAATTGAGATATAAACTCCAAACCATACTCCCAATTATTTACAACAACACTCGATCCAAACAAATAATGATTTTTAAAAACCCAAATTTGAATTCAAAGCTTCAAAGCTTTTTAATGGCTGTCAATGGTGGAATTGCTGCTCTCTTTTCCTTTCCTCTTATATTACTGAAATTTGGGATTGCGAGATAGAGAGAGACGTAGAGAGAATTCTCAATTCTTTGCAACAACATCCAATCCAAACAAACAATGTCTTTTGAAAACCCAAATTCGAATTCAAAACTTCAAAGCTTTTTAATGGTTGTCAATGGTGGAGGGGTTACAAATTTTCGCTTGTTTTAGAAGAGGAAATCATGGGGATTTGGAGAGAGAAACTTGGGGAAGTGGGAATATACGGTTGAGTAAAATTAGGAGACTAATTAATACCATTAAAATCCTAAAATGGTACATAAATGGTAATTAGTTATATAGAAGATAATTATATTAAAAATTAAACATCGAAGATAATATAGTTTACTATATGGCATAAGAATGTAAAAATTCCTAAAGATAACCCCTAGTCCCTTTGTTCTGTGGATCAGTGTTGTTTGGCAGTTGTTTTGCCATTTTTAATATCCAGTTTTTTAGTGTCGATGTTTGATGCTATATATTTATAGTAAGAGTAGTCATATAAAATTAATTATATGCGAGTAAATCATCACCGCACTCGCACTCGTTTCTCATTCTAGTCACTGCTTGAATGCTTAGCAAGTGGTGAGGGATGCCAGAGCAATACTTGAGGGTTAGACCTTAAGACTGGAGAGAAGGCCTTGGCAACTTTGTGTGCTTTTTGCTTTTAGCATGGAAGTTAAACTATTGGATAGTCTGAGCTTATCCAACTGATGTCTTGAATGTCGCGATCTTTGTCTAATTTCAGGGACACTTGAATCCTTCAACTTCCTTTTTACCGATACACGAATTGTATCCATTTTTTATATACCGACGCCTTTGTTTACTTTTTAGTTGGAAAGTTAAATCCCTGAGCAGGATAAAAAGGGTATTTGATTATACAAATTTAAATGCCCACATGTACAAGCTTTAAATTCTTGAATTCACCCCCTTCACTTCTTTCAACAACAACAATCACAACAATTTCAAGCTAGGGAGGTAGCAAAATTCTGGCAAGCTAGAGAGGTAGTTTTTGTTAGATCCTCGACTCAAGAAAAGCAAAATTGTAGCAGTAAAAAAAAAAAAAAAAAAAAAAAAAAAAGGAAAATCATCTCCCCCTCCCAAAGTTAGTCGCTTATCTGAACCAGTACATTCAAAGGAAATGAGCATGAAATACAGAGAGATAATATCAACCCTTCCCAAACGAGAAACCCCATATATATCCTTCTAATCTTGATCACTATCAATGGACAATACCCAGGCTTCTGATTCTCTTTTGTCTTATTTGGACCAATTTTTGTCTTTGCAACAAGTCTCCAAGGCTCATGTTAGGGATACAGTAGATATGCCTTAGATCCAATATCATATTTGATGATTTGAACATATTTCTGTGAACGTAATTTGATATGAAATATATATGGCATTTGATATTCTTTTATCATTGTTATTAATTGCTTGATTAATTTGATAAGGTCCTTGATTAAATTTTGAGATTTGTCATCGTGATAGAGATCATGATAATGAGAGCAAAGTATCTTACAATTTAATCTAAATTTGTTCTTGATCGTAGGATTATTAATTTGGACATTAGTAATCCGGTTAGATCAATATTTATGTGATCGTCTTTATGGGATAAAGATTAGTTGATCTCATTAACTAAATCACATAGATAGATGATGCATATAGAGATATGATCATTGAACCGACTCATTGGATAATTCCTAATGGTTAGAATTACCATAAACTGTCAATAAGATATTCTCTTGAAGAATGTGATGTAAAAGTTTCCTTTGACCTGAGATCGTCATAGTAATTGACAAGTTATTTGTTGTGCTTTAATACTAGACACCTATGGCCCTAGGGCGATAGTTGAAAGGATATTGGGTACGATTGAATACTTGTAGAATTAGTGATTGATCAAGATGGAATCTGTCAACTCTTGGTAATGAGTTTAAGCTCCATGTTGTCATGAATTATAAACGACCAAATTAAGACCTTGGCCAGGGCAATTGAATGAAAATAAGAAAAGAGTTTCTTAGGTCATTCAATGGTCGATTATATTTGACATGGACACATAGTTGGTCGCCTATTAGGATTTGACAGTTGAACCATATCCTAGGGTGATCCAGAGCTATAAGGACAGAAGGAATTACTACATTATTCTTCTACTGGTTCTTGAGAGTAAATTGTATACTTCATGCTATCCGGTCGTTAAGGAGTGTTGCTAGACGCCACCCTTGATTAGTATATTGATGTGATCAATTTACTACCGGCTTAGTATTGAACCTATGGGGTCGCACACTAACGAGTGTTCTGATCTTTGCTAAAGGATTAATGAACTTATTATTTGATAATTGAATTAAAGAATTTAATTAGTCAAATAAATAAAGTTATTAGTCCAAATAAAATATTATTATATTCTTTGCTAGCACAGAGGATATAATTATTATTGTGAACAAATTGAAGTTTTCTATATTTGGAATAGAAAATTAAATTATCTCTTGGTTGATATATATATATATATATGTGATATGTATATATATATAAGATATGTATATAAGTATTAATAAAGATTAAATTATCAATCCAATTAAGAATTGGATTGACGTGAAAATCGCTGGTTACTTCAACCCATAAGAATGGTATTGGTAGTTTTAATATAAAATATTATTTGGAGTAGTACTTATAGTCCAATTTGGAATTGGACATTAACAGAACCTTCACGTCAAAGTCCTCAGGAAGGACGTTGGGCACCAAACCCATTAAGAATGGGATTCTGATTCTCGTTAGAAAATAATCGATGAAGTTTATTTTTGTAATAAACTTTTACCCTAAGTAAATCATTATCTCAACCAAATTGGAATAGGGTTTATAGGTGATGCTATATAAAGGGTGAATGGAGAAAATTTGTCATTACTAATTCTTGAGAAGAAAATCACTTTGTGAAAGTGAGAATACAATACAAAGCCAAGAAAGAAAATACAATTGCAAGAAAAGTGTTTCTTGTTCTTCTACCTTTGAGTTGAGATTTTTGAGAAAAATTTCAA